TTTTGGATTGTACACAGGAAAAAGGTCTCAAGGAAAGTAATATGACACAGGAGACCACCTAACGCAAAGGTACAAACATTCAGAAAATCTCAAAGGCAAAGATAAGGTTAAGTAAAGAAAGGTTACAGAAGCAGCCCAAGACTAGAGAGAACAAGGAATTCCTAAAACCCTGGGACAAATTTTTAAGATATATGGCAGCCCCCCACTAGCCCCGCTTTGTATTAACCTGCCTCCTTCAGAGTCCTTAGGTCTGAAAAATAAACTCAGCATTTTCCCAAACACATTTTACCCCTGGGATCCCTTTGTGTTTACCCGTTAATCACTTCTTGGTGACACCTAGTGGTAAAATGTGGACCACAAGCCTGAGTCGGGTAGAAAAGATGAAAATACCATGACTATATAAGAACAATCAAGTACTGCCCAGGATATGATCTCAAATACAATGGTCTAAATAAATCAAACTGTTCAGCACTTTCTTGATGCTGGTTTTCATAATCACCAGTTTGAACAATGCTGACAGCAGCAAAGTGATAACCAAAGAAAAGCCTGTTTGATGTCTCAGTAAAAAGTTGGGATAACTCACACCCCCTTAAACACTAATTACTTCACTTGATGCTCAATCTCGGTCCAGTGTTTTTAACTGGCTCTTTAGCAGAGTAGAAATGCAAAGCCAAAAGGCAATGTTTTCTTGTAGTTTTCCAGAAGATTTATGTAGCTCAGTGGTTCTCAGCCCTAACTGTAGAGGGAAGTCATCTGGAAATGTTTAAAAACAAATATTAGTGCCTGAGTCTCACTCTTAGACCAAATTAATTGGTCTGAGATGGGAACTAGGCATCGGGATTTTTAAAGTCTGGTTTACACACAAACACGTGTGTACCTGTAACAAGACACAGGGCCCCGCTGCACTCAGCCCTTCCCCCATTCCCAGGCAGCTACTCATCTGTTCTCGGCCCTGTACAAGTCTGCCTTCTTCAGAACGTTGTATAAATGGAATCGTACACAGTTATGTACCCTTTTGAGTCTGGCTTCTTTCCTTAGCATGATGGCTTTGAGATGTGTCCACCTGGTTGCAGTAACAGTAGTTTGGTATTTTTATTGCTGAGTAGTATCCCAAGGTATGATTACTGGCTTCTTTCTCCGATTCCCTAGTTGTTTGTTCCAGTTTTTGGTGATTGTAAATAAAGCCACTATAAACATTCACGAACAAGCTTCTGTGAGAACATAAATTTCCATTAATTTGAGGTGAATACCTAGAAATAGGATCGCTGGGTAAGTGTTATGTTTAACTTTGTAAGGAACTGCCAAACTATTTTTCAAAGTGGCAGAACCATTTTGCTTTCTCACCTGCAGTGTTTAAGAGTTCCAGGTACTCTGCATGCTCACCGGTACCTGGCAGTGTTTTATTTCAGCAATTCTATTATGTGTATCAGTCAATATTTTAAATTCTTTATTAAAAAATACAAACAAAAAAGTGCACAAATCGTAACTGCACAATTAGATGAGTATCACAAAGTGAACATTTCAATTTAACTATCACAAAGTTAAAAAAAAAAAGACAGAAAAAAAACTCACATTATCAGTATCCCAGAATCCCCGCTGTGCCCCCTTTCCACTAAGCCTTCCCCCACCAGAAGGGGACAACTAGCCTGGCTCAACATCACACATTAGTTTTGTCTGGTTTTCAACATTATGTAAATGACATCATATAATATGTATTCTTTTGTACTGTCTTCTGTCACCCAATATTATGTTTGTGATATTTATCCATGGTGCATACAGTAGTTCATTCATATTCATTACAGTATACAGTATAGTGTTTCATTGTAAGACTATTCCACAGTTTATTTATCCATTCTACTGCTGACAGCTGTTTAGGAGTGAAAATATTATTATGATAAACATACACTTTAATGATGCCAAATTTTCCAAAACAATTGTACCAATTTACACATCAACCAAAAGACTGCTTGCTCCATATCCTTGCTGATACTTGGCATCATTAGTATTTAATTTTAGTCACTCTGTGACCACAGGTGTGTAGGGGTATTCTATCATGCTTTCAATTTGCATTTCCTGGATCATTAATGAAGCTGCACAACATTTCGTGGATATTGAACATTTGGAAAGAATCTTTTGTGAAGTGCTTGGCTCTTGCCCATTTTTAAAACTGGGTTATCTTTTTTTTCTTATTAATCTAGAGTTCTATATACAGCTGAGTTTAAGCTCTTCACCGATTATTTCCAGCAAATATCTTCCACTCTGAGCTTGTCTTTCACTCTCTTAGTGATGTCTTTTGATGAATGGACATTCTTAATTTTAATGTGGTAGCTTTTAAAAGTACCCCAGGTATGGGCAAAAGTGGAAACAGGGCTGAGAACCACTGCTCTAGCTGCTGGATGGCCAGCTGAACTGTCCCAGGCAGCAAGATTTGTTCGCATAGGGTGTAACTCACCAGAGACTTCAAATTTCAGAGTGTATAGCAGGATGAAGGAAGGAATCACTAGCTAGCAGGTGAATAGCAATATGATAGAAGGCGGGGGGGATGCGAAAGGCTCAAATGATATACCTGAGCCTCTAGGATGTAGAAGAGCAAATGCACTATGCCATTTCAGACTGTGCCTTTGGAACAAGTGATTTTCTGAACAAGCTGGGTATCAATACATAGGATGAACCATCTGAAGAGCTTCTCAATTAACTGAAATCTATACAATAACAATCATCTTCATAATCTGTGTGTCTAAGGTTGGCTTTTCTTTTTAACCCAATTTTAAATCAAAATACAATTTGTTGTAATTTTTGTATCTGTTTAAGCTTTCACTTTCTGGCTGTTCCATCATATAAGAGAGATCATTTTATGAAGAGAGAATACAGTCTTGAGTGTTGAATTATTAGAAGTATCTACGTCTTGAAAAGACTTGGCAAATGACCATAACAATAATGTCCTGTACCTGAAATTTAAATCCTTCATCAGCAAAAGAGAGCTGTTAAGGCATCATGCCGGAGGCTGGGGGCAGGGGGGGTACAGCTCAAATGGTAGAGCGCATAGCTTAGCATGTATGAGGTCCTGGGTTCAATCCTCAGTACCTCCTCTAAGAATAAGTAAATAAATAAACCTACTTACCTCCCCCCCCAAAATTAAAAAAAAAAAAAAGGCATCACGCCAGAAGGGAGACAGAAAAAAAAGGAGTATCTGTTAAGAAAAAAAAAGGTGGGGTGGGGAGCGGGGTTCTACCTGTAAGTACAGTTGCTCCATCAAAACCAGTCGTAGCTTCTCTCAAAAATCAGTTACCTCACACACTGAATCAAAGCTAAGAAGCTTAAACCAATTACACAGAAAAGACTTGAAAGAATCAGGAACCTACCTTTCCTTTATCTTATCTGAGACCTGTAAAAGGAGTCTCATGGTAACAACAGCCCTAGAAGAAAAGGTACGAAGCAAACATTGGAGAAGGACCCAGGGGCACAGTCATGACCTGCTGTTGGCACAGGCTGCCTCTGTGCCCGAGGCTGACAGTCAAGGAACACTAAAATCAATCAGCTTGAGGCTTTCCCAACCTCTCAAAATCTGCTATCCCATAAAGACAGCACATCCATACTGCACATAATCAAGGAAAGAAGCAGCAAAGAACTAATCTCTGTAATAGTATAACCCCAGCTCTGAAGAAACCATCTTTTCCTAAGGTATTGTGATATAAGCCATTGCAGGAGTTTTAAAGCCTTACAGCCAAATCTTAAATATGCTTAATTTTTAAAAAATCATGCAGCCATTGTAGCAAGTTGCTTGTGTCATTTACTGGTATTTGACAAGAGGGCATAGTAGAGAGATTTATTTCAGTTTGAGCCCTGTACTCACTCAGTTACGTAGAAGGCCTTAGGCAAGTCAGCTTCTCTCTCTAGGACTCGGATTCAGCTGTCCACAGAAGGGGTTAAACTAGATCATCTCTGAGGTCCCCTTTTTGGTGTCAACTTCTATTCTGCTCATAATGCCTTGCCAAGAGTGCTGAACCAATTTACTTAGCATTTATGCTCTCTCCTTCAATACCATGCCAACTCAACTTAATCCTAGTGCAGGAAGGTACTTTCTCCAACAGCTTAAATCTATCAGTTTATGCATGCAAAATGAGGCTGCCAGGCAGGCCTGCAGGATACCTGTGATACTGTGAATTATAATAAGAATATACATATTTGGTATTCATCCCCATTTCTAGCACAGAGCTTCTAAAACTCTTGAAATTTCCTAAGTGGTGAGAGAGCTATAAGGTATCTTTTGTTATGTTAATGAGGTGACTTTTGGAATGCCCCTGGGTCATCTATGGGGGCTGGATGCCAGAGGAACCAACCCTGTGACTGGAGGGTTGGAACTTTCAGTCCCACCCCTCAACTTCCTGGGAGGGGAGAAGAGCTGTAGGTTGAATTGATCACCAACGGCTAGTGATTCAATCAATCATGCGAATATAACAAAGCCTCTATAAACACCCAAAAGGGTGGGTTTCAGAGAGCTTCCTGGTTGATGAACCCTTGCAGGAGCTGGAAGAGTGGGACATCCAGCCAGCACATGGAAACCCCATGCCCCTTCCCACACATTTTGTTCTATGCATCTCTTCCATCTGGACGTTCACTTACCATATCCTTTTATAATAAAATAGTAAATACATTCCTAAGTTGTGAATCACTGTAGCTAATTAACTGAATCCAAAGAGGGAAGCCCTGGTGGGAACCTCTGATTTATAGCCAGTCAGTCAAAAGCACAAGTAATAACCTGGACTTGTGACTGGCACCTGAAGTTCAAAGAAAAGGTCCTTGGAACCTCCAATCTGTAGCTGGTTGATTAGAAGCACAGGTGTTAACACAGGGCTTGTGATTGGCATCTAAAGTGGAGGACAGTCTCATGAGACTGAGCCCTTTATCTGTGGAATCTGATGCCATCTCCGGGTAGGTAGTGCCAGAACTGAGCTGAATTGTAGGACATCCAGCTGGTGTGTGCCTTGTTTGCAGTGTGTGTGTGAACCCACATCCCACCCCCTACACATTGGAATTGGTCTCAGAACCATTTTAATACCCTTCCTTCTAACAGGTATCCTTAAAATCCTTCCAACCAGAGCACTGCAAAATGGCGTCTAAAGACATCTCACTCTTCCCAATCCTGAACTGTTTACATTAGAATTTCTCTCACCTCATAATCTGCATTTTCACTATAATCCTGAGTGTTTGTATGGCTGCACTTTAGGTACTTCCTAATTGCTGGGCTTTATATACTATTTCACCTCCTTTACTCTTCGCACTAGATCTGTGGTTTTCAAAGTTGTTCCAAGCAGGAAAACCCTTATACTCAAAGGAAATCTTCCTTAAAGCACCAATATGTGAAACAGGTTAAAAGTGAGGGGAGGGTTTTACTATGATTGAAAGGAGCGGGGAAGGGAAGGAGCTAAGTGCAGTCAGCTCGATCCTTCCGTCCTCCCTGTGCCCTGAATCACAGGCGTAGTCCAGCACCTTTGTCAAATTCCCAAGGTCTCTGGACCTTTGACTCACAAGAGACCAGGTCTCCAAGTAACTTAGTCTAGTTTCTGGGACAGGACCTACTGACCCAATTCAAGTGTTCCCTTCAAAGTAACTAACTTCAATTCAAGTCATTAGAACTTACTTTGGCATAATCTAATCACTGGTAGCATAGAGAAGTGGTTGTCTCTGGGGAAGACAATGGGTAGCTAGGAAAAACATACTATTTTTTAATCTTTTAGTTTTATACCATGTATTTATCTATGCAAAAAAAAGGAACTTAAAAATAAACAAAAATTCAATAAAAATCATTAGGTTTCTGTGGATCCCTGTACCTTGTTGTCCATAATCGTCCACTGGCCCTCGGCATTCTGCTTCAAAACACAGTGGTTTCGGGAAATCATCAGAGGGCAGATTTTTGATACCAACTGGTATGTGACACCAAATCCTCGCCCTACAGTCACCTAGGAAGACAACAACAATGTAAGAGACACAATCAGCCACTGTACTGAAAAGGGAGGTCCTTTACAATCTTGTCAACCAGCAGTGTCCACAAGTCCTGACTTAACGAAACCAGACTCTCATGAAACCCAAACAGATCATCAGCTATCTCTTCCTAGGTAGAAAAAGGCAAAAAGTTGTGACAAGAAGAGACAGCTGAACAGAGTTAATCACGGAATGTCAGGGTTGGTAGGACCCTGAAAGGTCACCTAGTACAGCCACCCACAGGATGGAGGAATTCTTTCTAAACATGCCCATCAACTAGTCTTAAACACTGCCAAGAACTATAGCTTTTGTACAATTTTTTTAATGGCTCTGACTTGACATCTTTCTAGCTATAAATTCCATCTATTGGCACTGATCCTGCCCTGGGCACCAACAGAAAAATCTCCAACCCCCTTTCACATGACAGCTATAAAGTCTCTACCAAATCTTCCCTTCTCTTGCTTGGCCTTATGTTCCCAGTTACTTCAACCTAACTCTATAGCATAGGTTTGAGTCTTTTTGCCATCCTGATGGGTTTGTGAAGAGAATCCTGGTTTATTTTCATTCCTGGATGCTGTTTTAAGAAACATAAATTTAATTTTTATTACACAGTCAAATGCAAGTATCACTTTCCCAGTTCTAGATAGTATCACTGGAGCATATAAATTGCATCAGCTTTCATAGCAGATCTATCGCATTGCCAATGTATTCTTAGGCTTAGGAATGATTAAATTTCTTGGTCTAACCTTCCCCTTAGAATTTCCTATGCTAAGTCATGTCCCTTCTTTCCTGTACTTGACTAGTTGGTAAATTTGGATTCAAGTGCAGGACCTTACATTGATTCCTGTTAAATTTCATCTTGTTAGTTCAGTCTGTCATGAGCTTGTCAAGACCTTTCTGAATTTTTAAACCCCATCAGACATACTCAATATCCCTCCCAGCTTTGAGTCATCCACCAAACTGATATGATGCCCTCTGTACCTTCCAAGACACAGATAAAAAGATTAAAGCAGGATGTAGCCAAAGGCAAAGTTGTCAGAAAAGCCTAGCAAACATTCTACCACACAATCGGGGTACAACTTCAATGAGTTATAATGCAACCAAAAGATGAAAAAGTCCATATTGTCCATCTTATCCACAAGGACAGCATGAGAGCCTCTGGAGAAGGTTGCAAAGAAGCCGCAATTCACATCAATCATATCTTCCTAATGGACAAGTCTAGTGCATAATAACCCTGTCAAGGAAGGAAGTGAAATTCTTCTGGGATCCAGATTGTAGAATTCCCTGTTTATTCTTCTTGGTGCACAAGCCACTCCTATAATGACCCATAACCCAATCTTACCTGGGAACATTAAGCCGAATGGTTCCCCTTGAAACAAAATGCCCTTTTTGTTCCTCTTGAAAAGCTTTCAGAATCATGCCTGTCCTCCTCAGTCTGTCAAAAACCACCATGACTCTTTGCCCCCATCTATGCCTCCCCCCAAACTCTCACCTCACTTACTGGCACTACCATCCAACCTACTGCTTCGCTCAATACCTAGGAAACATCTTTGATTCACTCTATGTCCCTCAACCCCACATTCAAATCATCAGCAAAATCTACTGGCTATAGTTCAAATATATCCTAAATCTATTCACTTCTCTCTCTCAATGGCCACTACCTTAATCCAAACAACAATGCCTCCTCCAGTTATGCTGTTTTTGCTTCTGTGCTAGCCCCTTATACTTCACACAGTAGCTGGGGTGGTAATATAAAAACTTTAAACCAGATCATTTCCCTTCTTGAAATTCTCTAATAATCCAACTTCCTTCCACAAACTCTGAAGTCCTCAGTGCCCTAACCCCCTCTACCTCTTTAGTCTTACCTCACATCATGATCAGAAACACTCACTGATACCTGAGGGTATTTCTACCTGTTCCCTCTGGTAGAACATTCTTCTCTCAGACATTTGCATGGGCTTCTTCCATCTTTCAAGGCTCAGCTCCTCAGAGGCCTACTCCGATTACCTGATCTAAAGTTGCTGCCTGCTCCCTCCCCATTGCATTCCTTCACATTATTAGCATGCATTTACCACAATCCAAAATTATCTTACTAGTTTATTTTTGTCTATTTTCATTTATTTATTCTTCTAAATTTATCTTTAGAATACAAATTTCATGAGCAAGGTCCTTATTTTTCTTGTGTACCACCATATTTCTGTACTCCTCTGAGCCTCTTTCTGCTCAGTAGACATCTGTGAATAAACGAAAGAATAAAGATATCGTACTTACGAGTCCTCCCAGATTCTAGGATGGGTTGTTTTTTTTTTTAGGTTAGAAGTTAGAAAATGGGTTATTACCATTTTCTCTGGAAACCACGTAGCAGCACCCAGGAACCTTACAATCTCACTTACTCTCCTTTAAAATGTTGTGGTGACCACCTCCACCAAAACCCTGAGTCTGAAGTTTCAATGCTTTGACAGTTTGGCAGAAGTTCCATTAATTATAGAAGTTCTTCTGAATTAATACATATATCCTTTAAAAATGGAATGTTCAGACTTAATGTGATTGCTATCAAATTACCCATGACATTTTCCATAGAACTAGAACAAAAAAATCCTAAAAATGTATATGGAACCACAAAAGATCCAGGATTGCCAAATCAATCCCAAGGAAAAAGAACAAAGCTGGAAGCATTAACTCGTCTACGCTTCAGACAATACTACAAAGCTACAGTAATCAAAATAGTGTGGTACTGGCACAAAAACAGACATATGGATGAATGGAACAGAATAGAGAGCCCAGAAATGAACCCACACACCTATGGACAATTAATCTTTGACAAAGGAGGCAAGAATATACAATGG